TCGCGTCCCGTAATATCGAATTTGGTAGATGCGACGCTGGCGAAATGGCCGAGAGCGCACCATGAGCGTGACATGTCATGTTGTTACATGACACACATGTCTTGATTTCCACTTTAGGATCTGTCACTTGTGTTCGCCATGCAGTCATGCTATACCATACCAGTTTTGAAATATGTCCTGTGAACGAAACTACTTATTGAGCTGCAAGACCACAAAATGTAAATTATGACATTCATGACATGCATGTCATGATTTTCATGTTATGGATTGTCCATTATGCTCATCATATAGTCATGTTATGCCATACCAAGTTTGGTATCGATACCATTATCCAAACGGCCAGGAGAGATAAATGTCGTAGGCGGCTAGATAGATAGATAGATAGATAGATAGATAGATAGATAGATAGATAGATAGATAGATAGATAGATAGATAGATAGATAGATAGATAGATAGATAGATAGATAGATAGATAGATAGATAGATAGATAGATAGATAGATAGATAGATAGATAGATAGATAGATAGATAGATAGATAGATAGATAGATAGATAGATAGATAGATAGATAGATAGATAGATAGATAGATAGATAGATAGATAGATAGATAGATAGTCAGTCAGTCTCAAAGTCGCGGAAGTTCGCTAAGAAATGCTCCGCATTTAAAATGCATTCATGCCATAGGAGGGCTACTTGATTGTACCACCCTTTTTCATGGCGCATTCTGGGTTTTTATTTTTGTAACAATTAAATTGTAACAAGACCAGCCCTAAAATTTCGTATTGAAATGCATCCCTTAGTTTTTCGACGATCCAGGGTGGAACGTTCGGTGTGAGTTTACTTCCATTTTTCTTTCACCCTCGTTGTGAGAAGAGTGAAATGCAAATAAAACCTGCATGCTTAGTTTAAGATGAAGGGTAGAAAACCCTAAATGGCCTGAATCCCTCTGTAGTATCTCGCTACAGCATGCGGTAAAACGATATCCTTGTTTTTGCACTTGAAACGAAAGAAAATAAATTTAATATAGTCTCTAAACTAAAAAAGAAGGCACTCTCTATGTGTAGCTTATTCTTCCCAAATATTTTAGACTTAATTCCAAGTAAATCACCGCTTTACTGACAGAGTAATGCCCCTAGACAGGATTTCAGTACGCCACTCACTTCAAAAGCGTAACGTGACTTTCACAAAATCACGGTAGAAAGACTCTCCGAAAGCAGCCTCTATTATACATCTCATAATAAACAATTCGTGAAACTGAGGCCAAAATCAGCCTTTATATTGCTTTTAACAATTTCCATCACATGGAGGTCATGATGATTACAAAAGATAACACTGTGATTGAAAATAAAATCATTTTAAGAGAAGAAGAAACTATAGGGCAATATTCGAACACAAGACCTTTTGACGCAACTAACTTAAAGAAAGTTGACACGCTACCACCATGCAACACTAAAAAACAACAAGAGAGTTTGTTTTCTTCATCAAGTGGGTGATATTAAGGATTTGCCTCTTCCTTTTTTTTGTTTGCAAACGTAGATCTCAGCGCTTGTCGATATGCAAGAACTAAACAGAAAGTAGGTCATTTGTTCGTTTTGCCGTTCCCTGGATTAGAACGTAGCTCTGACGCGTTACGCAGTGAATAAGATTAACGATTTTTTTATTTGTTGAATCATACTATACGAAAGATCATCAGACTGCTTGGACCCGTAGCCAATGGTTACTACTGGGTATAAAAAGAAAATGTATGCAGTGATGCAGGCTTACTGTTACATAAAAAAGAGACTAACACTCTGAAACACAGGGTGTTCTACAGTAAAACTACAAGCATTTTTTAGCATGCAATCTTCGTGCCAAACAACAATAAAATCTATAATCACAATAGTGTCAAAAGGTGCACCAACGTAAGCAAATCACTAAAGTGTACATAATAACATAAACAGGACAACTCAGAGATATATTAAGTAGTCAACAACACCAGTAACCGTATTCCCAAATGCAATACAAATACAACATTCGTTGCTAGGCCACAACAAGATTCACAATCCAGAACAGCGGCACGCATTTTGAAAATTGCACACACCAAATAACCATCCAGCTCGTATGATGTTTCTGTGGCTGCAACGCGACATGCCAGGAAACAAAAAATCGCAAACTTAGCTCGCATAATTCAAGCTTAGATAAATTTTTTTAGAAGTGTTAAAATTTGGGCTTTCTTTATTTCAGGCGGCAAGCTGTTCCATATTTTTGCTCCTATAAACGGCAACTGACGCTTTCCATACGCGTTGTTTGTGGGGGGGGAGGGGGCAGATTGAAGTTACCCGACGCAGCATTTCTAGTGGGCCGAGAAGTAGTGTAGAACAAGGATGCATCGAAAGGGTTGTTTTGCCGTATGATATTATTTACCCAGCAGGCTGTCTTTGCTTTACGCAATGCATGAAAAGGTAAAATTTGCATGTTGTTAAACAGTGGTTTACTCGGATGATCATGCTTAGAGTATGTTATTGTTTTTAGAGATCGTTTCTGTAATATTCGAATAAGTTCTAGGTAAGTCTTATAAGTCCATCCCCAAGATTCAATGCAGTATGAAATGTGATAGTGGATGAATGCGAAGTATAACGTTGATAAAATGTCTCTAACGAAGTAGTTACGGGCCTGCAGTAAAGCATAACATCCGGACGCCAACCTAGTGCAAACTTCCGTTATGTGGTTTTGCCAGTTTAAGTGGTTATCAAAGTAAATGCCAAGGTAAGAGGTTGCATGGAGAAGAGAATGGTTGTTGGTAGCTATATTGATACAGTTATTATTTACGGCCTTGTTACGAGAATGAAAAATTGTATATTTAGTTTTCTTAGTAATAATTGTTAATTTGTTGGCACAAAAACCATTTGGAAATTCTTGATAACTCCGAGTTTGTTTTAGAATTAACTTCCTCGATATTGTTACCTGTAATAATTATAGCTGTGTTATCATCGTACATCAGAACGTCGGAGCAATGTAAGAATAATGGCAGATAGTTTATATACATGCAGAATAATAAGGGCCCAAGGACGGATCCTTGTGGAACACCAGTTTCTATACGTTGAGGCAAAGAACATATATTGTTAATGTGAACTATCTGGTACCGGTCATAAAAATAACTTGAGAATAGGTCGAACGATGTACCTCTTAAACCGTAGTGCTTCAATTTGCCTAAGAGTATGGAGTGATTTTCGGTGTCGAATGCTTTTTTAAGGTCTAAGTACACGACAGCCATTAGTTTGTTATTGTTTAGGGCGGAGTTAATTGCTTGTGTTAGAGACAGCAGCACGGTTGATGTCGAGTGCTCGGAACGAAAACCGTGCTGTTGTGGGCAAAGTATGTTGTATTTATCTAGGAGTATGTATTCGGGCTGCAAGAAGTTTCTCATATACATTGTTAAGGACGCTTAGCATGGATATTGGCCGATAACTAGATTGGTCAGTGGGCTCTCCGTCTTTGTACATTTGTGCAACCCTAGCTTTCTTTAGAGAACATGGGTACGTAGAGGCATGCAGAGAATTATTGAAAATATTACATAAGATAGGGCACAGGACATCCATGTTTTCCTTATGAAACCGTACCGTGATTCAGTCTGGTCCAGCAGCCTTATTCGTAGACATGTTTAATACAACAGCTTCAATATCCTTGGATTCAATATCATACGTACAGAAAGTGTTGGTTAAAGAGTGTCCGTGAAAGCTGTACTCGGTCGAATTGTCAAATTTTGCTGCTAAGGCAGGACCGATGCTCGTTAAATATAGATTAAACCTGTCAACAATGCTTGCACCTATGCAGTCGGGAAGAACCTGCTGTTTTGGGTTGTTGCCAGTAACTTCTTTTACTATTTCCCACATTTTTTAGTATTATCATTTGCGTGCTGTATAAGACGGGTATAATTTCTTTTTTGCGTATTCTAATACCCGACACCGATTTCTTACGCATCATTTTGTAATTACGCAGGTAATACCCATTGTGTTTATTCTTCTTCCATTTATGATACCAGTAGTATTTTTGTTTAAGGGTGGTGAGGATGTAATCAGTCATCCATGGGCACAGTGGTTCCTGGTAAGACCTAGTAGATATGGTTTTGCTACTGTTGACTATGATGCTAGTAAGATTGTCAATCAAATTTCAGAATTCTACGTTGACATCGTCGTTGTGTATAAAATTGGTGTCTAGTGATAAAAGCTCGTTCCGTGCTATAGCATAGTCGATTCTAGTTGAAGGTGCTGTTTTCTGTGGCTTTGGTTGGATCAGACCTCTTATAGTCACGGAGATAGGAAGGTGATCAGAAATGGGCACATCATAAACGTCAGCCTTGGCATGTGAGGGTATATTTGTTAAAATATGGTTCAACAACGTTCCAGATTTAGCCTTTTGTCGCGTAGGAGTGGTAATTAGGTTCAAGTAATCGTAGGACTCTAGCAGATATGTGTATTCGTTATTAGTTGTAATATGGGTATTAATGTTGGTATCCCCAACGATAACTACTTGGTCATGGTGATTCGCTAACTAAAGAAAGATGAGTTCAAGCTTGTCTAATAAGGCGGCTATGGGTGAGTTCGGAGGCCGATAAAGTACGCCAACAACAAGAGAACAGTGGAGTCTGATAAATAAAAATTCAATTTCAAGGAAAGGGAATGTGATCGGTGATAGCTCTGAGTACGTATGACGATTTTGAACAAAGAGGGCTACTCCCCCTCCCCTTGATCTGGAGAGACGTGAATTTGACACTGCAGCGTATCCGGGGATCATAATGTTCTCGCCTGTTTTTAACCACTTTTCAGATGTAGCAATACCATCGAAAGAAGTAGTGTGCTGCGACAGATAGGCTATAAGCAAGTTTACGTTTTTATTTAAGCTACGAATGTTGCTGTGAAAAAATTGATATATTATCGTTTGGCTTGTGGTTGTCATGCGCAGCTTTTCGAACCTCCATATGGCCGAGGTATTTTTTTAGTGGTTGTTAAGTGCCCATGATCACACAATTTCGGACAGGTCATCTTTGCATGTAACGTGCACGACTTTCAAGTTTACCGATTTCCACATTAATACTTTGTCGTCTGCAAACCAGGCGAATTTCCAGTTCCTTTCTTTTTTGGCCTGAATGCTCTTGCTGAGCAGGACCTTATTTTCGGGGCATAGGTGGGCATTCACATAGACTGGCTCACTTCCTTGGAACCCGAGGGATCCTACATTCCGCCTGTTTTTCTTGGCCGCAGTCAGAATGCTGTCTCGTACATGCCTTGCAACAGACTTTACTACTATGTTGGGCGGCCCAGATCCCTTAGTCGGCACCCTATGTGCGACATCAACGTCTTGCCCGGAAAGTTTGGCCTTGAGAAAAGTGGCCACTTTCAGAACTATATCGGCAACGTCCTCTCCCTCGGTCAATGATACTCCCTTCAGTTCAATGTTGTTCCGTCTACTGTATTGCTTTAACGCTATGATTTCTCGCTTGATGTCCCTCAACTCTTTTTCTAGCCTTTGGCACTCTTTCTGGCTTCCCAGGCTACGGTTAGTAGCCTCGGTGACTTCCTGCCGGATGGTCTCGATTTCAGCTTTGAAACTTTGAAAGCCTTCATTTATGAATCCCATAGACTCTTTAACAGTGGCATGCTCGTCAGATATTGTACTGCACAACTTAACATACAAGCGGCATTCACAATGAATAAATGAGGTGTTTATCATTTATATATACATAAAAATTTAATCTTGAGGTGCCCACGGAACACTCCACGTTCTGTCACCTCCTTCGAAATACTTCAGGTCATTGTTGTTGACGTTTCGTGACTACACCCTTACTACTTCACTCTAGCCATAACAACGATACAGATTAAGGTTTCATATTTCGAGTGTAGAGTTGTTTTAAACACCGTAAATATTCAATTACGACTTTGCTAATCGTCTTAAGGCAGCTTCGAGCATGATCACCCGAATGAGGTCATTTTCGCGTAATTCACTGCACGCGTCATAGTCTACAAACACAGATATTGATCGCTCGGAGTGCCAGCGATCTGAAAAGCACTGGGAGGCACTCGAAACGCTATTTTTTATTATTGATCTCCTGCGCCAAAACACAAAATAAAGTGACTTTTAGCACATATATGTGTGCGCTTAAGAATAAATGGTAAGCACTCGCAGTATGCTGCTCGTCGATATAGATAAGGAGCAGGAGTATGTTTGCGTTTTACTCGCGCGTTTCAGAGGAGTGCAAGGAGACTCCACAAGTCTGACAGACTGGAATTCAGATTGCTTTCACTCTGTCTTTTCATGTAAGGACAACGATGCATTTCTCTTCATCGCACACTTTGCGAGAGTAACAAAAAGGCTCTTAGTTGCAACTCGGCTGATTTAGTATTGTGATACCCTTTTCTCCTTCTATATTTTCTTTTCCTCTTATTTTTCCCTCCTCTCGAAAGAGTGAGCAGGCATTGTGCCCCTCCAGGTGGCATAAGCCAGCTGGCTCTCTTCCTTCTTCATCGCTGTTCTTTTGTATCCGTGTATGCCAATCAAATAACTAATGAATAAATACCCTCCCCAGCAATTAGAGTGTAACAGCGAAGCATTTTAGCAAGTTATGTCTGGCTCTTGCAGTACCAAACAACTATCGTCTTAGTCATAAACTGGTATGGGAGTCATGATTATGGTGAATCTCGCTAGTAAACTCTGGTACGCTAGAAAGAAAGAAGGTAACATTTAGCCTCAAAAACTGGTGGGTACCACAGAAACTTGTGTGGCCTAACAGAAAAGTAGCATAATTTGAAGATGTCGAGTGGATTATTTAGAGGCATGGAAAGAATGAAAATGTGTAGTCGAGCTGGATCTAACCAAAGCAGTCACCGTGGCAGTCACGTTTTTTGCGACAGAACCTTGCCAGATGTTCAAAATGCTTTAAAAAGGCATTTGCAGATATCATATCAAGAAAATGTCAATATTGATTGATCTGTTGGCTATCGTCATTTATAACAATGTAATGAAATAAAATAACAGTATGGCTTTCAGTCAACTTCGCAACTCCTAAAACAGTGGAACTAGAAGATTCTGAAGACTACTCTGGCTGTTTCTAGGCTTCATTTAGGCCTTATAGAGCTGTTACAGATTGTTTATAGGATGCTTCTAGGCGACGGTTACGCTTTGACTGATTTGATTTATTCGTGGGGTTTAACGTCCCAAAACCACCATTTGATTATGAGAGACGCCGTAGTGGAGGGCTCCGGAAATTTTGACCACCTGGGGTTCTTTAACGTGCACCCAAATCTGAGTACACGGGCCTACAACATTTCCGCCTCCATCGGAAATGCAGCCGCCGCAGCCGGGAATCGAACCCGCGACCTGCGGGTCAGCAGCCGAGTACCTTAGCCACTAGACCACCGCGGCGGGGCAACGCTTTGACTACTTCATGATAGGTTGTTTCCACGGTGACTCTCAGCGCAGAGAGGTTCGAGTTAAACCACAGGCAGTCACTGACACGACACAGGCGCATTGGCATTTCCGTAGGCCTCCCATCACTTCGGGGAATCCTTACAGCCTTTCCATTTTCCTAACATATTCTTCTTATACGTATTCCGGGTCTCTGGTTCACTCCTGTCGCTTCGCAGTCATTCTTTGGTTTATCTGTTGCCTTTTTTCTTGCAATGAGACATGTATATAGTGTATTCTCTATGGCGCGTATCTGTTAACGATTACCCTCAATTTATCTCCGCCAAGAAAGCCGAAACACTGCATATTTATTGTAAAACGTTCAACTGTCAATGATCAACACAGCGTATAAGTAAATAAAATATTGAGATAACCATTTCGTGCTGTTTGAATGCGTAGAAATGCCATAAAAGACATCAATTGATATTACAGCAATGTGTCTATAATTGTACAATGCTAACAATCATCAATTGATATTACAGCAACGTGCCTATAATTGTGCAGTGCTAACAGTCATATCTTGGAACAACTTTTTTGTGACCTATGTGTACCCACGATAGTGCTGTAGTGGCTAAGGCCCTTGGCTGCTGACCCGCACGTCGCGGGATCGAATCCCGGTCGTGACGGCCGTGTTTTCGATGGAGGCGAAAATGATTAAGACCCGGGTGCTTGAATTTTGGTGCACGTTAAGAATCCCAGGTGGTGGAAAATTCTTGAGCCCCCCACTACAACGTCTCTTAATCTAACGGTGCTTTTGGGACGTTAAATCTAAACAAATATTATCTGAGCCATGTCAATTCGCCTTATGAAATGACGAGAATTTCTCCAGAAATTTCCATCGTCTACCAGCTTCCCATTACTATAGGTGCCTTTTAGAAGAATTTCATTTATGGGACATTTCGTAACGCTTATTGTTAAATAGTTGAGTATATAAAATGCCCGCTCATTCGAAATCCTGCCAACAAAGAGTACCGTATGTTCGAATCAGTGTTTATTGAGTGAGTGTCCTAATACGAGTTAAAAACACAATATTTATGTAACTGTTACGTCATAAGAGAAGTATTTTGTGTAAGAAATACAAAATACAATAAGTATAAAACAAAAATACAGTAGATACGAAATGCCGCTAGGTAACACAAAATTGAAGTAACGACACACATTTGGGAATGTGTCACGTGGGGCATTCAATATTACGCAAAACTAAGGTATTGATGAAGACCCAGCCAACCTTTTCAATATAGCCATTTTAATACACATGCAGCCACATGCTCACTCAGGCTTTATAATAATAGAGAGTGTTAGTACATACGCACGCTTTTGCGTTCCTTTGTACTCTCAGCCGCCCTTAAAAAAACACTGAGGACGTAGGAGCTCACGTAATTGGACCACTTTGCAGCTCAGTGCTTAAACTCTCGACAGAAAGGAAGCAGTTTGTATTGATTTTTTTTTTCTTCAATATTTCAACATAAGTGAGATATACTGACTTTCAGTATAACCAAGAATATTTACCTTCAACTTTTCTTCAGGTGAAAATGCTGAGTGTTCTGTGTATGTCGTGCGAATGTGTGTAAAATTACCATTAGGGCGTTGTCCAGCCCGCTGCATAGAAAAAGTTTGAAATAATATTCTAATTCAAGGGGGGGGGGGGGAGGAGGGGTACGCATTAACGTACGCTGCCACCATTAACGAAGTTCTACCTTGGCCAGATCTGAAAATGTCGACAGAAAGTGCATGACTACAAATAAAGCTTTTGCCTCGTAAATTGTTTTCTCATAAGGCTCCTTTATAGTTGTCTTGATTCTGTTTACTGACATCATCAACCATACGTTTTCTAATTCAATTCCAGTATTTGTATTTAGTTCAGTTTACAAATAAATTTCTCGTATTGACGATAGAGTAGACTATTTCTCGCAATCGCTGCTGAAAAAAATGTTTCTTAGAAAAGACAACAGGGGATAATGAGCCGTTGGGTGGCACGTGAAGACCTATTAGCATGGAGATTTATAAGCCCACTTTTGCCGGTTTCACAGTCATATCAATAATTTTTACTGATCAATATGCCTTCAAGATTTATTTTAGACATGAGACTTTTCATTTTGGGAATTTGTCCAGCAAACCTTCTAATGAAACTAATGTCCAGCCACCTTCAATGAATTCAGTCGTGGAGACAGAAGCAACCACACTTTGGTTATTCAACAAAAGCTCCTGCCGAAAAAAGGGTATATTTGTTCGTAGTTTAGGGCAAAATATATCAATGCTTTAGTGATGCTTACTGGTATAACTAAAAAAGCAGCGTATGTAAACATCTCTAAAATATGTTTATAGCACGGGAAACCAAACATGAGTTCTATTGATGACGTTAATTAAATCATTAGCACTATATTTCAAGACGTGATCAATGTATACCGTTCACACAAAAGAGAAAATAAGACTTCCAGTGGCCCTCTTTATATCGCTACGACAGAAAAAGCAATAATATGGAATATCAATCTGCTAGTGCAAAAGTTATGAATGAATTATTCATTGATAGCACTTAGACTCTGCGTTCATCCATATACTAAACAGAAGGCGGTTATTTTTCAAGTATCTGTTTTCGAATGTTCAAACGTGAGTGCTATTGTGCTGGTTTTTCTGCAGCTTCTCTATTAAACTGAAAAATTGTTCAGCTCACCTAATAAAATATATAAATTTATCAACCCTAACTCTAAATTGCGGAAAATAAAATCTGAATTATCACTTTTCTCATCACTTCCATTATACTCTTTGTATATCTGTTTGCGATGCGCATACGAAAACTAATACCCATAACCTCGTGAAATTTCAGTGAAAGGCAGAATTCTCCACACCGAATCAACCCAATGAACTTATGAAAGTTAACCGTACTGAATTATAGTGAGAATACAGACACCGAGAGAAAAATTTTTTAAGCTGATGCACATGATCAATTCACCACTTGAATCATCTCTATATCTTTGCCCCTAGAAAACAGAACCACACGTCACCCTAGACAAGATGCATTAACACTTACTTCGCAAGAACAGAAACATTTAGAAATTTTTGCCCTCACACTATAACCTAATGAAACCACATTATCAAACTGATGTCATAAAAACATTATTAGTCATTGGTTATATAGTTTTCCTAACCATGCTTATAGTTTTCTCGTAATAGTGTTT